AGTAAAGGGCATCACAAAAGGTGAAACAGGGAAAGAAGGGCAAGTAAAATTTTTTTTAAGATTTTTATTTATTTATTTTAGAGGTAGTATTACAGAGAGAGGGAGAGACAGAGAGAAAGATCTTCCATCTGCTGGTTCACTCCCAACGTGGCCGCAACAGCTAGAGCTGAACCAATCTGAAGCCAGGAGCCAGGAACTTCTTCTTGGTCTTCCACAAGGATGTAGGGACCCAAGCACTTGTACCTTCTTCTACTGCTTTCCCAGGCCATAGCAGGGAGCTGGATTGGAAGAGGAGCAACCAGGACTGGAACTGGTGCCCATATGGGATTTCAGCGCCACAGGTAGAGGCTTAGCCCACTATGCCACAGGGACGACCCCGTAAAATGTTGAACCAGTTAGAAACTACCAGATCTTTCCCTTTGAAATTCATTATTAATAAGATGCATATAAAAAATAGAAGTGGGTACATTGTATTTTGAACAAATTCTTGGATTGGATGAAGTATTTGGTATGAATGTTACATGAGAGTAAAACATGTAGGAAACATTTAGAATTTGGATACCTTGTTTGTTAATTTTTCCTATGAAGTAAATGCTAAAGAGAGCAGAGAGCAATGGATTATCTTGGTAGACCTACAGGCTTGATGTTTAAGGGATTTACATAGCCAGCAAAACAAATGGAAGTGAAAAAAGGGAAACCTAACATACAGTGCCAAGCACTTTGTTACAATCTATGTATACTTCCTCATAAGTGGCTGACCACACGTGCAAAGTAGGTATTGGTAAGCACGTTTTACAGAGGTACCGTTGAACCTTACCAGAGTCGAGCATCTCAAAAGTTTAGATTCAAACCTAGAACCAGCTATTTCCAAGACCTTCATCCTGCTGATTCTGCTGCGATGAGAAGTTTGCAGCTAAAGCCCGATTTCAGCTCAGCCTTATTATTATTCTTCCTGAGTCAGTTAAGCAATTCTTTCCTCCACAGTTAACTTTGCAGAATGGCTTTCAGTGATGGGTCTTAGTGAGCCGGAGGCTATTAATGATGCATGTGTTTCCTGTGGAGACTGGGTGCAGGAGAAAGGAGCACTTGGTTCTTCCCAGTGCCAAACAAGTTGCTAGAGAGGACAGAAGCCCATTAGACTTAAAAATCATTGCCAAAATTGTCCAAATTCTAGATGCAATTCTTTGAAAAAGATTCTAAACAGCAAGAGCTAGGACACAATATGAAACTTCATGACTTCTGCTCATCCTTTTTATGTCAGGAGAGTTTCATTATTTGAGTCTCACATAATAGCTTAGCTGCAGATAAGAACCAATAATAACATGTAGTCCTCAGCACAATTCATTCTGTTTTTGACCAAATGCCCTTTGAACCTTATGATTCCCCACTTTTAAATCTATCACGAAATAACATTTATCTTTTTCAAAGCCCCCAACCATAAATCAGCCATAATGGAAGCTCTTCTTCATGCTTTTATTGTAAGGATATATGCTTCAACCTTTGTGGCTAAAGTGTTTACCTGGCATTTTCACAGCTGACTCAGTGCATTGGAGCCTTTTAAAGCAACCTGCATGGCATATGGTCACCAAATCTATGTGAAGTCTTTATAATTTTCTCATGATTGATAGCACACTGCTGTTCACTGGTGAAGGCAACCATATCTATTTCCTGCTTGCCTTTATAGCTGTTAAGTGACTTAATCCATTTACTTTCATGACTGGGATTTCAAATGTGGAATTGTGAAGGAAAAGGGAAATGTGACGTAGCCAGGCTCAGCAGTGTTGTGTATGACTGCCATGCTACACTGTGCTACCTCCCAGGCTTATAAAACCAGAACTGCCTTTTCTACAATATAACCTAGTTAGTAGGGAGAGAAAAAGAGTAAATTAGCTAATTAATCAATCAAATTCCATTACTGTAATAGAAATCTGCTTCCTTAGACTTTATAACTCCAAAACTATTATCCATGCCTATCTTTTTAGACCTTCAATTCCTCATCTTTCATGATCCTGTATTAACTACCATTATCCTGCCTGTATTTCGTTTATTATTATTATTTGAAAGGCAGAGAGAGACATAGTGGAGACAATCAGAAAGATCTCCTGTGCACTGGCTCTCTCCCCAGAAGCCCACAACAGCCAGGACTAGATCAAGCAGAAGCCAGGAGTCTGGTACTCAATCCAGGTCTCCCACATGGGTGTCAGGAACCCAAACACTGGAGCCATCACCTGCGCCTCTTGAGGCATATTGGCAAGAAGCCAGAATGGAGAGCAGAGCTAGGGCTCAAACCTAGGCACTCCCATATGGTTAACTGTGGTACATAATGCCTGCCCCTACTGTGTTTCTTTTCAGACTTGCCACTGTCTGTTTTTCATGACATTTCTCTATAAAATGCCATGACAGTTTTAAAACTGTGGTATTGTATCAGAGCTATGTATTATTACTAAATGCAAATCAAAGGTTTTTCTAGAAAATTTCTGATTAGTTTTAGCTACCCATTTCTTGATTGATTCAGCTGATGTTTGACCTAAATCTGTGTTGAGCACACCACGTGTGTGTTCACATGTGATCCTCAAAGATGACTCAGGAAATCTATTCCCTTTGTAAATCTGCTTCTCAGCCCTACTTTCTTGATAATCAACTTCTCAGTCCACCAAATTTTTCATTTTTAATTGTTTTCTCTTGGTGTTTTCTCTTACTAATTATAAATCCCAGGGCCATGGCTCGCTTAGTTAATCCTCCCTCCACCTGCGGCACCGGCATTCCATATGGGCACCAGGTTCTGGTCGCAGTTGCTCCTCTTCCAATCCAGCTCTCTGCTGTGGCCCGGGATATATGTCAGCATCAAACATCTTCTTAAAACACAATAGGCGGCCAGCACCGCGGCTCAATAGACTAATCCTCCGCCTTGCAGCACCAGCACACCGGGTTCTAGTCCCGGTCGGGGCGCCGGATTCTGTCCCGGTTGCCCCTCTTCCAAGCCAGCTCTCTGCTATGGCCCGAGAGTGCAGTGGAGGATGGCCCAAGTGCTTGGGCCCTGCACCCCATGGGAGACCAGGAAAAGCACCTGGCTCCTGCCTTCTAATCAGCGCGGTGTGGCGGCCATTGGAGGGTGAACCAACGGCAAAGGAAGACCTTTCTCTCTGTCTCTCTCTGTCTCTCTCTCTCTCACTGTCCACTCTGCCTGTCAAACACACACACACACACACACACAATGGGCACTCAAAAAAAAAAAAAATTTCCAGCTACTACTGGTTTGCTCTCATGGTAAAAAGGAGGCTATTTTTAGGGGGCAGGACTTTTTTTTGCTGTCAGTAGTAGTGGAGGATGGCCCAAGTGCTTGGGCCCCTGCACCCTCATGGGAGACCAGGAAGAAGCACCTGGCTCCTGGCTTCAGATCGGCGTAGCTCCAGCCAGTGGTAGCAGCCGTTTTGGGAGGGTGAACCAACGAAAGGAAGACCTTTCTCTCTATCTCTCTCTCTCACTATCTAAATCTATCTGTTAAATAAAAAAAATTATAAACTCCCAAGGGTTGTGCCAAATGTTATCTGTCAGTAGCAAAAAAAAGAAAAAAGTCCTGCCCCCTAAAAATAGCCTCCTTTTTACCATGAGAGTAAACCAGTAGTAGCTGGAATTTTTTTTGAGTGCCATTGTGTTTTAAGAAGATGTTTGATGCTGACATATATTTTTGATTAATACTTAGTACTTTTTCAGATTTATTTATTTATTTATCTATTTATTTATTTGAAAGGGAGAGTAAAAGAAGCCTTCTCTCTTCTACTTGGTGGTTTATTCCCCAAATGTCCACAACAGCCAGATTTTGGCCTGGACAAAGCCAGGAGCCACAAACTCTATCCTGGTCTCACCAGTGGGTACAGGGGCCCAAGTACTTGGACCATTTTCTGCTGCTTTCCCAGGCACATTAGCCAGAAACCGGATCAGAAGTGGAGTAGCCAGGACTCAAACCAGCACTCCAATATCAGTTGCAGGGCATCTCAAATGGCCACTTAACCTGCTACACCATAATGCCAGCCCCAGCGCTTACTTTTAATATAGTAATTAAAAATACAGATCCAGAGTCTGAATGCCTTCTTTATTTTCATACTGTGATCACACAGTCTTCTAGCTGTATATCATTGGATGGATTATTTAATCTCTAAGCCACACCTTTAAATAGAGGTAATAGTAGTATGGAGCGATAATAATAGTAACTATTAAAGTATTGTCGTGAGGATTAAAATTAATAATCCATGGGAAGCACTTACCATAGTAAGTGCTCAATAAATATCAGCTGTTTTTATTACTAATTAATTTACTTTCCTCTCACTCAACTACACAAGGCATTTTTTAAAAGGTGAGAAAAGTAGCAAGAGCAGCAACACAGCGAGTAATTGGGGAAAAAATGGGATTTGAAACCAGAGCTGACTCCCAAACCCACAACTTTCCTACCACATTCTCTTTCTCATGCTCATCTCTCTATCTGAAAACAGCCTTCCTTACATCTCACGGAAGTGGTCTTTCTAAGCCCACTTCAGGTGCTGCCTCCTAAACTAAATGCTCTCAATGCCCTCAAAATGTTCTCAGCAGTATGTCATTCATTTTTGCACAACGTTGGCTACAGTAACTTGTCTACTAAACCATGAGTCTCTGACAGCAAGGTAGGTTAGACCCCCCCTGTATGTCCTAAAGCAGAACACTTTGCACTAAGTAGATACCAACTGAGCAGCCACTTGGGGAATCAGAGGTAGAATTAAGCAGAAGTTGTTCAGGTCACAATTTTGTATAGTAATCATTTACTGAACTAACACGTCTCTGTGCCCGGCTCTGTGATAGACGCTGGGTTTAAAGAGGGGAGGCAAGAATCTCTACCTCAAGGAGCTTACAGTTTGCTTACCAGTGCTCTGAAGCCAGAAAGTGATGTTCTCTGAGGGGAGACATTATAACCAACTGCAGCAAACACTTCAGTAATGCAAATGAATTCTTATTTATTGTTTGTACAGATACAGTTGTCTCCTCCAGCTGCTGCATCAGTTTAGACTACGTCGTCACCTACCTCTACAAGCACATAGCAAAAGAGGGCAAGAAGCCACTTCGATGCAGAGAGGCAACCCAGGCTGGCCAGAGACTATTACATTTTATGCAACAAAACCCAGATGTCCTGCAGCAGGTAACTGGTAATTAGTCACCTTGCTTAAGAGAGTTCCCCAGAAGCCAACCTGGTCCCTGACTGTCTCTTGGAGTAACATCTTGTCAAGACCCTTTATCAGTTATTCTTCAGGAGTATTTTCCCTAAATGTGGGATGGTGCACTGGCTCCCAGGACTACCTCCCCTCAAGAAATGCCCTTGTCAGTCATCTTATCACAGTAAAGCTAAAATTTTTAAAAGAGGATAGTTCTTCCAGAGGCCTGAGAAAAACTATGGCAAAAGTGGAGTAGAAGCACTCAACATCTGATCTCTTTCCTGGAGCCTCTAAAATACCATGTGATGCTTGCCTTGTGAGTTCTCTGTTATATTAAGATACTACCATACTCTGGGCTCCTGGTCTCTATCAGCCAACTTGCTAGGAACTGTCTATTCATCATATAATAGTGTATTTCTCCAAATTTAAAATGAGAAATCATAGCTCAGGTACTTAAGGTTGTATTCCTAAGAGCACTTAACTAATAAGAAATGAAACCACAGTTTATTTTCAAATGTACTTTAATTGGCTAATATGGGTTGGGTCCAAGTTTAATAATGTTTTTAAAAACTTCTGTACATCACAGTAATAGTATGCTTAAAAAGAAGTATATGTGCCAGAAATATTTCGAAGAGAATAATACCATTTTTATGGAAATACCATTACTATATTTTCTAATTTCACTAAATTTGGGGAGTGATATCTTCATATTGTTTTTAGTTGTTTTATCTAATTATATCCATAATAATCTGTGATTTGCAGATGTAAACATTTCAGTGTGTCTTTAGCAAATAAATTGCCTGAAATCAGCAGAAATTGTCACTTCTGTAGAGAAATGATGGAAAGAAAATGAGACAGCCATGGAAGAGGTTTCCTTCCTGGCTATCATATTTTGCTAGTATTTAAATGAAATTATGTGAATTTTAATTATGGTGATGTTTCAATTAATCGCTTATCGGGGAAGAGGGTTGAAAATTCAGATTTTGTGTAGTCATACAGGCCTATAACTGGTACAACCCTGGAACTGTTACAGCTCGGTGGCAATACAGTAAAGGTAAGAAGAAGGATTCATTACATGCAAGGTGCAAGAATCTTTAAAACTCATAAAACACAATTTCTCTCCTTAAAAAGTTTCCTTTCATGTGAGACAAACCAGGTATTTGGTAATTTGATTAATATAGTGATGACAGAGAGTGATGCAGGAGAGAGAGGAAAACTGTCAGAGAAGTCTTCTCACTTAGATTCCATAAGAACCTTGAAATAAGGATATCATTATCCCATTTTATTGATGACTAAATTGAGATGAGGAGAGACCGACTAGAAAGTGAGGGAATTGGAATTTGAACCCAGATCCATTTAGCTCAAAAACACAAGTCCTTACTGCTCACACAATCAATTCTCGAAGTGGGGATAATATCTCAGATTAAAATATCTCAGATTAACCTGAAATGCCTTCTCAAAAATCTACATTCTTTCAAGACTTAGGTAAACCTCTGTTCTCCCCTCTCCACACACCTTGCCTTCATGTAGTAGCCGCTGTTAGTGTTGAGAGTGTCCCATAGCCCTCTTTTTTTTTCTTTTTTTTTTTTTTTTTGGACAGGCAGAGTTAGAGAGAGAGAGAGAGAAAGGTCTTCCTTCCACTGGTTCACCCCCCAAATGGCCACTACGGCCAGCAGCTGCGCTGATCTGAAGCCAGGAGCCAGGTGCTTCCTCCTGGTCTCCCATGCGGGTGCAGGACCCAAGCACTTGGGCCATCCTCCATCTGCCTTCCTGGGCCACAGCAGAGAGCTGGACTGGAAAAGGAGCAACCAGGACTAGAACCCAGAGTACCAGCGCTGCAGGCGGAGGATTAGCCAAGTGAGCCACGGCGCCGGCCAAGAGAGAGCCACCAACTTAGAGCTTGTAATCACTGGAAAAAAGTATCCCCAGGTTAGCCAGATCCCAGACCCAGCCCCCACCACAGCCAGGGACTGGTCCACTACAGATCACTCCTGCAAGCACTCAGCTGTAATCGCAATATTGTCCCATAAACTTTGACAGAAACTTTTAAGTTGGTAGAAAATTTTAGCAGAAACAGTAGACAGTGGTCCTAAACGAGGTTCCAGCAGACTGTATTTAGCAGGTAACATGGCTGTGCAGGAGACGATCAAGTTTGTCTTCACTCAGAATTACCATGCATTTGTTGGTTTAAGTAATTTCTGTGTGTTAATAATACTTGGTAATCTTTCACTTTATAGTGTTTGACTAAGTAGTGATATATCTTTATTAACAGTGGAATACATTCTATTTATTTGGAATGTAGGCTTTCAGATAGCATTTTAAATATTAATGACTGGTCTCTGGTAGTCAGCATAAATATGATTTGCATTAGCACTAGGTTGTATCATCTTGAGTGCCTCTGATGTCAACTACTGGGTATAGTAATATCTGACATCATCTCCTTAGGTCACTGACAACTTTGACCTCTATTCTTATGCACGGTTTCTATCGTCTCAAAAGCTCTTTTGAATTGATTTGAAATTTTGACTCTTCCCTTTATGAGGCAGTAAAATTGATAATTATTCAGATGGGAACTGAGCGCTGAGTGAAAAATCAATTCCACTCGCTCTCTGCTGCGTATAAAATTACTTCTGAGTCGGCTGGACGGAGCGGATGGCCAGAGTAAAAGCAGCAGGCAGGAGTAGTGGGCAGAATTAGCTGGACAGAGCTAATAGCCTGGAGGGATGGACTTGGAAAAGAGGGAGTGGGCCAGTTGGGGGTTATTATGAGCAGGGATGGGTTCCATTGATCATCTGTTTACATCAGCTTTCCAAGGCCTTATAAATCAGGCCTGAAGAGCAAAGGAACCCAAGACTCGGCCTCTGACCAGAGGGACTTTGTATTAGATTATTCTCATTTTCGCACTCAGATGAAAAGTGAGCCATTGATTATTCATTGGTTGCCCATTAAATGCTGTTTTTATAGATGATTTGCCTATCACATAAGGTAATGAACAAGGTTGCTGCTTCGTAACTTGAGGTTTCAGTTTTCAGGCATCTGTGTCGGTTAAGTAATGCCTAACCCTATTAAAAGGAATGGGTTACAAATTGCTTAACAGTGCTGAAAAACTAGACCCTAATGACTAATTGTGCTTGGAGTTTAGAGAGGGTTTGTCAGCTCTTTAAACTAAACTGATGCAATGATGCTGCAATTATTTACTAGTTTGAACTATTTTTCCCCCAACCTGGACCTGTTTTGCTGAAAACATAATTGCATGAAGAGTGTCAATTCCAAATTGCAAAGTTACCTCCTCAAGCTTCTATAATAAACAGAGCAAGAACCTATATAGAGGGTTTTCCAATATCCTTACAGGCCTTTTCCATTTGTATGCAGCAGCCTGGGAAACCAACTGTAGTGCCTGCCACCTGAAAATGTATTTATCATGACCCACTAGGTGCCTGTAGATCTTCAGTGTTTCTAAAACTGTTCTGCAAATAAATAAACTTCCATAGTTTCCCAAACAAATCTTACTTGGAAAACATTAAAATTTAGTTCACTTGAAGATCTATTGTAATTAAATGAATCTATTTCAAGTAAAACTTATTGCCTCACTTTAACTTAACAATTGAGAAAAATGCAGTTTACATTAATTTGGGGGGGGGGTGTTCCTGAATGCTTTTAAGTCAATAGGAGAGCAAACTAAAAATTTTAGTAACCTGATCACTACTGACTGGACACCGACCCGCTATAGAACTTGGAAGATGACATTGGTGTGTGAATTGTTTTCAGTTTCGTCACTGGTCATACTAAGTCTTTGCATCTCTAACCAATAGATGAGCTGACTAAATCCATGTGGTCATTTCACAGAGTGAAAGATCTTCCCACATTAGGTACACGAAGGATCATGCTATATGGAATGAGAGGAGCATTTCAGAGATGGAACTAATTCTTTTTGAGATTATAAGAATCAGACACTGATACTGCTTCTCTCAATCAAAATTTCAATGGAAACTATTGCTTCAGAAAGACTAGCACCTTTCACAGAAGTAGAGCAAGAACTATCAGGCTGTCAGTATTACATGCCATTAATTTGTTAACAAGGAATATTTAGTAGTTATAGTCTCTAAAATCTAGAGGAGCTAGAACAGTTAGGTTTGAATTTCTCTTACCCGCATCTGTTTATCTTTTTGATTCAAGTCAGCTGAACTAGAAACCCAAAGAAGTTCTAATTTTTTTCTCTCTCCTCTCCCTCCCTTTTTATCTCATTTTATTTATTTATTTATTTATTGCTAACACGGCATTTAACTACAAATTGTAAAGAGCTGTCAAGAGCCATAAGAATCATACTTCAGTAGGGACTTAAGCTGAGAGAACATTCACCCTTTTCCTCAATCAGTCAGTCAATCAATGAAAATTGCTTTTGTATAGTGCTCTTCATGACATGCATCCCAAAGTGAATTATAGCAAAAGGGAGATCATCTGCTTTTTTTTCATTTCTGTTTAGACTGAAATGATATTGCACAACATTTTGACATACTATACAAGACATCTTTCATACTTAAGATTCCATTCCATAATACTAAGTAGGAGAAAGTGCAGTTGCATATATATCTGATGTTGAGACTTTGGCCTGTAAAACCTTAGCAAGATTCTCACAGTAGAAAACAACTAAGCAGATGAAATAATAGTCACATTTCTTATCCTCTTAAAAAAATAATCAGCCAGTTTTGCTAATTTTATTCTTTTTAAAGATTTATTTTATTTATTTGAAAGGTAGAATTACAGAGAAAAGAGTGGGCAGGGGAGAATCTTCCATCTGCTGGTTCCCTCCCCAGATGGCTGGGCTGGGGCTGGATCAGGCTGAAGCCAGTAGCCTAGAATTCCTGCTGCTTTTCCAGATGCATTAGCAGGGAGCTGGATCGGAAGAGGAGCAGCCAAGACTTGAAGTGGCACTCATATAGATGTCTACCAGTGTGGCAGGCAGCACCTTAACCTGTGCCAAAAGGCT